GTGGAGGGTCATGGCCCATCCTCCTTAACCATCCATAAGGAAGGCCTGAGCCCCTGCAGTGGGGACGTAAAAGGGCTGGCGATTAAATTATATTTGATCAGTTTCGCATTCACAATGCTAAATAGATTTTTTTTTAATGGAGAATGGTGCCAGGGGCCAAGTGGATTTTTAAGCATGTTATAGATTCATTCATATTTGATCAACGTACTTTTAAACAAAAAAGCAGCTGTCCCGCTGTTCCCGCTGTCTCTACGCTGACGTCCTTTTAAACTACACAATGGATTATATTGCTGTTAACATCAATATACAAAGTGATTCAAGAGGAAGCTTTATAAGTATAATTCAGAATCAGCAGCCATACCCCACATCAGAATGCCATATGACATAACGCTATGGAAATAAATGACGTATACTCTCCTAGCATATCTATAGGTACACCTGTGAGTTGCCTAATTTTTCTTATTGCAAAGATAGATGAATTTAGTTTTCTTGCCTATTGGCAGTAATATATGAAATGTGAGGATGCCATTGCAATTTAAAATCTAGCGTCCGAAAAAGATTGTTGAATCAACCAACTCGAGCTTTTCATCATAAATATTAATTTCTGTTAGTTCAGCTTTTAGATTAGGTATCACAAACTTTATATATTTCGTTTTTTTAGTATTTAACTGGAGATTATTTATAGTAAACCAGGTTATAATTTATGAGAGAGCATTGCTTACATCGTCAAAGTTATTTTTAACATCTATCAATATTTAATATTAAAGAAGTATTATTTGCAAAGTTTCAACAAATGTATGTAAGAAACAGAAAGGGACTCAGAATGGATCCCTGGAGAACCTTCATTATTAATTGGGAACCAGATGATCTCGTACCGTTTATATTGATTAGCACTTTAAAAATGTATTGAATGAGAGCAATAAATCCTTTTACAATATTTTAAAGTCTTATAGGAAACTTATACTAATACAAAAAAAACCGCTCTATAGGTATACTATTACGAAAATAAAGTATTCGTTGGTATACAGTTTTGAAACCCTTAGTTGTATGTAGCAGCTTTAATTTTCTTTATCTACACTCAATTCTAAAAATTCGAATTTCGAATTCAAAGACGTTTCTATACATACGCACTTTATAAACGCATATACATAAAATTAAAACTCATTATAGTACCGCCAACTGTATCATAAAGATCATTATAGTAACGCTATCTATTTTTTTTATTCATTAAATTAGTCTATGGTTTTAGGCTGAATATGAAAAAAATGGAGCACGCATGCGTAGGTTGAACTTAATTTCCCGCGCTTCCCATATTTTTTTTGCGATCGTGTTTTTGTATTCGGGATACCAAAATATCACTTCCTTGTAACCTACTTACTTTGTTTAATTTAAGATTTACGTAACTATTTTACGATATGATCACTTACTCTTGGCCACATCATGAAGGAGACATACTATCAGCCGCCCATATCGTTAAACGCAAATCATTAATTGCTCTGGCAAGGTTGATCATGATGTGGGTAACAAGATTTTTCCATTTTATGAAATACAAACATTTCACTGGCCGCATCATGAAACACAAATAATTTCAATTTCTTTAATGTAAACTCAAACAACATTTTAATGTTTTTTATTTAAAGCCTGCTCAAAGTTCCTTGATCAAAATGATAGAGCGATTTTGAATATACTCGCCATCAGCTGGCTGAAAGAGTTATTCTAGGTAAATTTTAAGGGAAAAAAACTGCGATTAAGAATTCATTTAACGCCATCTAGTCCATAAATATACATATACCTATATATAAAATATAAATATTTTTTTTCTTTCGTAAACAACATTAAACATTTTGTAAATAATATTCACGCTCATCTCGTTATATTTTCGTATGAAAAGTGATAAAATGGAACAAATCCACGTTGGTATAGGCGCCGGCAGTGTTATTTTAAAGATGGTCTACCGATATGGACCATCTATTTGGGCTTCGTAAAAGCCCCCTCTGACTACCCGCCGATATAAAATAAAATATAAATATTTTTTTATTCTTTCCTAAACAATATTAAACATTTTGTAAATAATATTAGGTAAATTCATTACAATGAGTAATCAGATTGTAAACAATGGTTGCTATAGTAACATTTTGATACCCCATAAAATCTTTCACTTCCATTAAATTCCAAGTGCTAGTTTTTAGGATAAAGTATAACCTATTACCTCCCTAGAATCATAAACTACCCATATACTAATTTTCATCGACATAGACCCATAAACAAAGAAGTTTCATACAAAATAACCATTTTGACACCCTTCGGGATGGAAATTCCAAAGATCCGTTCTTGGTACACCTCTACGTATTAAGAGAATGTTCCCTCCAAATTTCAACGACGTTTCTACTACCAGTGGTTTAGGCTGTGTGAAGCGTAGGGTTTTAGATAAGGGTTGAGAAGCACCCCCCCAGGCTTCAGGTAAAAAGAATGAAACTAAAATAAAGTTTTAACAATCTTTATCTTTATTCTCAGGGGGTAGGTATAGATAATCGACTTAGCTTTAAGATAGTAAGAGGATTTAGTGACGAGTTCGCGGAATGGGCCGGGCAGAGGCTGGCAAGGGTGTAGACCCGTCGTCAGCTCCGGTCAGCAGCACTGAATATTCACGAAGACTCAGGCACAACGCAGAGCAGCGTAAGGCAGGAGGACTCGGGTAGAAGAAGAACCCCGATTTCGAGGATATGTAGCACTAACTTACAAATTTGAGGAATCACTTAAAAATGAATGTATTGATTCGCGAGAAGTCATTTAAATACGCGCTGCGCTCCCATGTCTGCCTACCTCCATAGTACAATTGTTAACATTGTACCTACAATTATTTTTCTTTAAATTAATTTTTATGTCGGCGCATCGATTGTACCGCGATTATTCGATATTGATTCCTAAACGAAAGTGAATTAACAAAAGCAAGTTGCCGCCATTTTGGTAGACGTTCTGTTGCCTATCGTCGAGGAGTAAAGACATCCGACGACATCACGCTGATCTCGTTAAAGTTTTCGTATGAAAAGTAATAAAATGGAATAAGTCCACATTGATATTAGATGTGTTGAGGATTAGAAATATTTTCACAGTAACTTACCAGTCATCTTTAACTGTGTAACGGTGCGTCGTACGACCGTTAATTTCGTCCCATGTATCGGCATGTAAACTTTTTGTCTTTGATCTTCAACATCTTTTCTTTTTATTATTCACCTTTAGTTGTGACGGGGAGATGCTTGAGCAAATGAATAAAAGACTGACTAGGCTTTAAAATTTGATTTATTAGACGGTAATAAGAAAACCCTGTTTCTGGGTTTCTCGTAATAGATGAAACTTAGTAGATATTTAACGAAGATACGTTTACATGCTGAAGATTCTGATAGGAAAATAACGATTGTTGATTTCTTCCCGCCCTTTATGGTTGTATTATAATGTTACCATATGCTACCACAATAAAATTAACGCTTCCACAGAAAAATAAGCAAGAATTTCAACGAAGTGAGAACTGTTGATAGTTAGGATACTATTATTTTTAGTTACTAGCTGACCCGACAGACGTCTTATATTGTCAATTTTTTTTTAGTTATGCTCTTGTTCTGTTATGCACAGAAATTCTGCCAACATATTGAGAGAGACACGAGACTCTAGAGACTGAACGTTAGTTAGAATTAACAAGTTCTTCCTTGTGATTGTTCTGTCTCTACTAAAAAAAGGACAACACAAAAGCAAACATCACCATAACTACGCTAGTTTTATAAATACATAAGAGAGGATTTTGTAACACTTGTTGTTATAATTTGATATTATGTTTTTTTATAAATTTGCAAAGACACAGAAATAAATAGAATAGTGTTAATATTAACTGGACAAGGAGTTATTGCTGTTTTAATATTTGCAGCATGCATTCTGTCAAAAGTCATAAATGTTTTTATTGTATCTGTGTGTCGTATCTGTCCCGGTTAAGAAAAATCGTAGATCCGGGCTTGGTCTCAATCACATCTCAGAGTACCAGGGACAAAGTGGTTTTTTTTAAAAAAAAACATCCTGCTGGTCAATTTTACTAATGTTTAGGTAATAATTGCACCTCAATAGTATCTTAACTACATGCATTTTGCCATTGTAATATGTACCTGAAGTCCAATATTTAGTTGAGATTTTATTGAGGTGCTATTATTATGTGAAATCAGAATTGACCTGCAGGTTTAATCTTCGATCTGAAAACTACTTTTTTTTAATATTTATGAACAGCCGATGTTAAGAACAAAGAAGATGCCCAGGCTCGCCAACGATGCCGTCCATTGGTACATAGGAGAGCTGACGTCCAGAATAGTAGCAGAGTCAGGAATACCCAGTGATCGTTATCACTTAGGCAAAATACTATTGCAGAGTTTCAAAGATGCTCCAGATTTTCTACTGCAGGTGAGAAAAGTAGAAAGAACTAAATCATCACCAGCTATTAATAACCTAAATGCTGATTCAGACAGGTTCACATGATAAGGGTTATAGTAGGGTATATTGGTGGGATTACTAGCGGCTTAACATGTCTTCCGAAGCTTGATGAGCTTGAGGCCAGAGACTGATGAAGTTGATTGATATATCGTAAATCAAAATACAACTCTTGGTTCCCATCAACATTTAAATTGTAGTGGTTATCGTAAGTGGTGATAATCGAGCAGTGTTCGTTTGCACACCACAACAACCTTCTCAAACTTCAACAAAAGTATTGTTAAAAGTCTCTCCATATTATTTAAATAATTGTCATTACATCTATTCTACTTAAAAAAGGACGTTACAATTCGATAACTATACAACGCATTTAAGCTAATAAAAACTGAACGACCTCAAACATAAATATAAGACTGACAGCGCAGAGCCGTTAGAAATAAGTGTCTCGTAAGATTATGGTGACAAAGTATTATTATTATTTCCCAAACAGATCGATGGGGCAAGAGATGACAAAGAAACCAATAAGTCAGTATTGGTGCGAACGGTGCGTTGCGCCAATGCAATGAAAGCAGCAGGACTTAAAATCGGAGATGTAGTAGTCATGATGGCACCTAACCATTTAGATCTGTCAATACCTTTTTATGCGGGATTCTGCATCGGTGCCGTTGGAGCCCCTATGGATAGAACTATGGGTGCCTGTGTGTACAATAACTCTATCAGACTATATTTTACTGTGTACAGTATAAGTTTAGATATTAAGAAAGTTACTTTATAGTACCTATAACTAGCTTTTCCCTACGATTTCGTCCGCGTGGCATAGTTACTTTGGGCAGCATTTCTAAAAACGCTATAACAAATATTTATTCATTATATCGTTTAAAATACTGGAATGTAAAGTTTCATGATTTTGATATTTTACAATGACGAACCCCGATACAAACTTTTATTCCTTATTTCAACTCTTTTCCCTATGTTCTATCTATATAAAATCATTAAACGATTCTCCTTGTCCCACATTATTTAGTATAATAAGAGATTATCAAACATTTACCTAAATAGAATAAGAACAATATAAATCAAGACTACTTGGTCAAATTTTAAACTCACAGCTGTTTTTTTTTCGAGTTTAAATTGAGGGGATTTTATGTGAACTAATGAAAAAACATTGAGGTTAATATCGTAGTCAATTCGCTAAAAGATCCATCCAATTAGGTGGCTAGCCCTAAACTAGAACAAAATAAATTATATCTATTTTTGAATGTTTATTGTCATCATTAGACATCTAATAGCGAAATACAAGACAAATCGGTAAGCAATTTATTTTTTAATTGACTTTTTTATTGCAGATGATCTCCGCATTGCATTTGACACCAACAGACCAAAAGTGGTATTCTGTCAAAGCGATAAAGCGGCAGTTATTCAACTTGTTGTCAATGAACCGAAACTCGACACATTAGTAGTCACATTTGATAAATGTGAAAGTTTTTGTAGTTTCAATGAATTTCTTGAGCGTGGTACGAACGGTCTAAGTGATGACCAATTCAAGTAAGAAGAATACTTTAATACTTAAGAATATAAGGATTTATTTGAACATATCATAAACAAATGGATCGTTAAGAAAATAATATAATTCTGACAAAAATATTTGAAAATATTAAGTGGATACCTATTTATTTTGGCCTCTGCAATCTAGATGAGAAACTGTTGTAATAAATAATATATTGTCTCAGAAACAGTCAGTTTAATCTGTTATCGTTTTTCAATATATATTTATATTTGTTTGACTATACATTTAAATATTTTAGGCCTGCCGATTTCGATCCTGAACACACCGTGGCTTTATTAATCTCGACAAGCGGCACTAATGAATTTACCAAAATCTGCTGTGGTGACGCACAAAAATTTAGCTATAACTACACCTTATTTGTTGTAAGTATATTGCAGACTTCCAACGAAACATTTACTTATTAGTTTAATTCTTTTGACGCACAAAAACTGTTGCTATCATATACTGACAAATTGGGTAGTGGATATTGCGTAATGGATGCTTATTAATTTAAAATTTGCAAATTTAATTTTAAAGAATATGTTCTTAGCTTCGTTTACATATTTATTATATTCATTTATGATATGCAACATTCTATATAATTTCACTTGTTTTAAAATATTTGCTGACTATATTGTTCAGGAGCGGAGTAACAAGATTATAACTTTAATTTTAAGAGTTATCGGTAAATATAGGATATTTTGAACTTTGAACAATTTCCAAGTTCAATCAATATACTGATATCGAAATTTAGACCAAAACGTTCCGTTGTTTTGTGTATTTATAACTGATTAAATGATAAAATTTCCTACTCGAATTAATTTTTTTTAAGTCTTGCGTTATTAATAAGACGATAAAAAAGTACAGAAAAAGCCACAAGATAAAAATTTTTGGTCCCCAACCATATAGTCGACTTTTGCGAAAGTTGCTTAACAACCGTATCGCAGTCATTCATAACCACTGTGCCATCTCTTACTATATTTTAGATTTTAGGAAGTTCATAATATACCTCTCTACGTAATAAAAGGAATGTAACCTCCAAATTTCAAGTCTCCTACGGCCAGCGGTTTAGACTGTGCGTTGTCTATCAGTCAGTATGTCAGGACATCTTCTTTATATACATATATAGATTTGATGAATAATTCATTCATCAGGAAGGTCAGAAAAAAAAAGCAGCAGCAGTGTAACGTAAAAATGATTGATCGAAAAGTATCTAGTGAACATAGACACTATAATATTCAAGTAATAATTCAAAAATTACGTCTCAATAATGCGATTTAGTTTGCGCTACAAGAATTTGGTGACATTATCTGCCTTAATAAAAGTTTTACTTACTATTGTTAAAAAATAATCACAACGAAATTTCGAAGGAACCAACTGCAAATTCATTGATGATATATTCTTAAGACTTTACTATATGTTTGATTTTACATACAGTTCCAGATTTCACGAATTTCCTACTCCGACAAAAATGTCAATAATGGTGTCGCCGTTGCGATGGATGACAGCTATCATGAATTACCTCTTATAACCAATTTTTCGATTCACAAGATTGCAGATATCAATGGAACCGACGCGGAAACATATTTACCACTTGATCAATACATATAGGGTAAGTTAAGATACAATTGTATACTTTCATATTACATATTTCTTTATTCAATAACATATTTTCAGCCTATTTTCTTCATTGAAACCTTAGCCGTACTAATATCATTACTTGATTCAATGACAGAAAAATCTTAGACTGTTAAATTTCTAACAAAACTAGCATGATATTTTCTAATTTAGTATGATAAATATTAATATTTTTTTTCAGCCTACATTCTTTATGGTAACTCCAGCCATAATAACATTATTGCTATATCGGGATGATGGGGAGCATTGTGACATGACTTGTTTAGATCTGATCCTACTGGGAGGTAGTAGCGTCCCTAAAGGTTTTATCGAAAACGTTCAGGTAATAACAGAATACGGAATTTCTCATTCTAATTTGCATCGTGCGTTCAGTTATTTATATCGCTAATTGTTGATTATTAAAACTGGATTTGTTCAGGGTTGTGAATATGATAAAAATAAAGCTGTAATTTTATATTTTGATCATAGCCCTTATATTTTGATCATAATCCTTCGATTAACAGATTCTCCTTTACCTTATAATCACCAAGCCTTTATGGATGGAGCCGAATCCACTGTGCTAACGAGCTCCTCATAGAGCTTTAGCTTATAACAAAATATATTAAATTGAATTACTAGCTGTACCTACAAAAGTTATGACTAATAACTTTTCTTTTTACAGAAATGTTACCTGAAACAGAGGTTATAGACTCATTTGGAATGACAGAACTAACGATGAGTGCGTTCCATGGTGACGATCCCTCGGTAGGATCCTGTGGAAAGCGTATGGAATGTCATCAGTATCGTGTAAGTTGTAAAAACTCAATGGCGTATTAACACTACTCGACTTCCTTCTTTTTATCGGTCGGTGTTTGTTTTTTGGACACTCGCCCGCCTACCAAATATATCTGAGTATAATTACAAAACCTTTTCTCAATCTTAATACTCTTGGTAGAGTGGTCGTGGTCAACACCTAGTAGATGTTAGCTCGGTGCTCGGTATCGGTGATTGTCCGCATGGTGTGGCCCCTTCTACTCTATCTTAGACGACGAGACGTTTTATGGAGTCTTGATATGTCTCCGAATAATGTTTGGGTGCTGACTCTGAGTTCTTGTATTATGCAGTAATTACAAAATCCCTGGATTGATTTCCAGAGTTTAAATTTGCACTATGTTTTACCTTTATCATACAATTTTAGCAATCAACAGAATGTTCTGAATGCCATCATGTCGCTAAAATTAGTGTCAATAAAATAATAATTTACTTGTGTAATTCTCTCCTTTTAGTTAGTCGATATTGAAACAAAAGAAGACATATTAGAACCTCATGTGCCCGGGGAACTCTGGGTTAAAGGGCCAGGTGTTTTTAAGGTAAGTTTTGTAGTTTAAAGTAAGATAATAATATTATTCTTGTGAAATTGTTTTGAACGCGTTTTTATTGCTATTAACCTTTTATCCGCAGTAAATACGACTCACGGGTCTTTTGATAATAATAAACACCAATTGTTATTTTAGATACAGGCCCATGAGATTCATGTTTAATCTGGTCGTAATTTTGGTAACCAGTGATGTTATATGTACTTATATTATATATGCTATGCTGTTTTCCAAGGCTCTTTGCCTGTAGACACTGGCAGATCCTTAAGAGAAATTTAGTGGGCTAAGGAAATGCCTACTCGACAACGTTTTTAATTTTTGTATCATTATTCATTATTGCAAGACTTTACAATTAAATATATTGTTATTTGTAAGGCTTGAAACAAGTTTAACTGTCAAGTTAGGGATATTCGTTAGTTTTTCCTTGCATATACATGCCCAGGGCCTTAGCACTGGGCATATTAATCTCAGTAATACAAAAGTAGTAGCTGAAAATTTGATTCGCATTTATATTATTATTTATTTCAGGGATATTATAATGACCCTAAATCGACTAAGGAAGCATTCGCAGAGGGTGGCTGGTTCAAAACTGGGGACATATTCTACAGAGACGAAAAATGGAATTATTACCACGTCGAGAGAATGAAGTCTATACTCAAATATAAAGGTAACCAAGTAAGTATTCCTTAATTAAAAAATATGATTTTCTTTTATATTTGTTGGGGTGAAAACAATGCTTTGAATAATACCTATTATAGTTGAAATTTCCTACGAGTTGATGTAAAAATATAATCAAAAGTTATACAAATCGACGCGCAATTTTCGAAAAGAAATGAACGTTGTGAAAACAAACAACTATGTGAAGTGCCTTCTGTTTTGTAGCGGTGTCGAACGCACGCCGTCACTGTCTAGAGGTTCAGTCAACTAAACCTACTTCAAAAGGTTTTATTCTATAAAGCTCTTTGACGGCGCTAAGATGGCGTCGAGTTCAAAGCCGGTTTACCAGAATACGTAGCGTAGCAGTTCTTCCTGCTTGAGCCAGCGCCTTAAGGGACTTGTGTGGAGATATATTTAATGTTATTAAAAGTTTAAAAAAATCACCTTCACTAATATACCAATTTTCAAATTTAGATTAATTAGTTGCTATATCACTTATAGATAGCGCCTGCTGAAATAGAAGGTGCGATTCATCAACACCCGGGAGTTTTGCACGTAGCTGTGACAGGGGTTCCTGATAATGAGGATAACGAGTTGCCGACTGCTTGCGTGGTCCGCCGCCCTGGCCACAATGTCACAGCGCAGGAAATCAAAGATTTCGTAAAAGGTTATTTTTGTTACTATTAACATTTTGTTTTTTTTGGCACATCTGTTTATTGACGATAACCAGTTGTTGTTTCACTTCCTTTAACTCTTTGTATGGTCAAAACTAAATCATAATTTTAAAATGGCCAAAAGCGGGTCACTTGCCATTATTGATTAGGACTGTTAAAAGAGTGGGGCTGGACCCGGCGATCCCGGGTCCTCCCCCCTCAAGAGGGTACTTACATTGCGATTTACCAGATAGGCCGGCAACAATTAAGCCTTAAAAAAGGTCTGTTATGGGAGTGGCCATTATTGTAATTAGTAATACTTTCCTTTAAAAACCTGGGTGGGTTACGTTTAAGTTCCTATACTGGAATATAATATATTCACCACATTTCCTCACTTTCATCTCCAGTAAAATACCATTACTACGTACCGCAGCAATATTTCATCAAGTATGTCAAATACGTTTTGACCATGCACTTCGCGGTAGGTCCATTGTTCGAAGAGCGCTGATTTAAGGCTTATGGTGGTTAAAGAGCGCTGAATTAAAGCATAAGGTAGTTAAAAAGCGCTGATTTCAGGCGTAAGGTGGTCAAAGAGCGCTGATTTCTGGCATAAGGTTGTTGAAGAGCGCTGATTTAAAGCATAAAGTGCATTCTGTCATGTTAAACTTTCACGGTCACATATATCAGATTGTTTGCTAAAAACATAACGTAAAACGTAAGGGTATCGAACATAAAAGAACTTGAAAGCAAGTAGAATGATATGTCTGCAAATAACACCCACTCGCATGAACTTCAGTTACTCCATGATCATGGCGTTTATAACAGCACCGAAGTATAGGATGAGCAATTCCTTTTTAAGCAATCATTCTGATAATTCTATTACGTTAACAATACAAAGATAATTGACAAATTTAAAAGTCATTCTAACACGGCGAATTAACTACATGAGATGGAAACACGTGTATGTTGTTAATTTGATAATATAACATAATCTTATCATGTAGGTAATAGTAAAGTTTTTATTATAGTGATACAGAAATGTGTGGATGACAATGATGTATTAAAAAGTTTGGATGAGTTATCTGCGCATAACATTAAAAACAAAAAGCAAGGCAATAGGGA